TATATATATATTGTTTTTCCTTCTTGTACATGCATTTGTGTTTCCAAAATGGTTATATTTAATTATTTTTCCCCATAATTCTTTTTATTTACATGTTGCTTTTACATTTCTCTGTCTCCTGTTTTTACTTTACCTTATGCATTTCTGCCTCATTATGTAAATACTGGGTGGTCCTTAGATCAGCTCCTCTCCTATTGGTAAACAGACAAGAAAGAGCTGGAACCATGTGCAGATCTACTAAACATGCTTGTTCTGCCTCAGTTTGCTTAAATTTTTAGATTTAGTTAAAAACAAAGGCAAGGAGGAAAAACACTTACCTGTTCCTTTGTTTTAAACTAAACCTTAAACTGAGGCAGTGCAAGCATACACATGGATCCTGCTCTTTTCTTTTCTTTCTTTCTTTCTTTCTTCATTCATTCATTGGTCCATATATATATTTCTGCTTTTATTTACTAATAATTTCTAATTATGTCAGTTTTGGTCCTCCATAGCGGTGCCTGAAAATAAGTCAACTATGGCAAAGTCCATGGAAGAGCTGTTTGGAATTGAAAAGTCCAACAATCTTGATTTATTGGAACATTTTTAAGATCAGATTTGTTGAGTCTGCAGGGGAAACAAATTTGTTTATGTGAGAGAACTACATAAAAAAACACTACAGGAGCCTTCAAGCTTCTTACTTGCTTGATTTTATTTCTAGCCAGAAGTAAGATCGATATCATGTATTTTCATTCTATGTGGAAAAATAACTAAATAGAAATATATTTGTATAATTTTGTTTTTGGGTATTTGCTCACGTTTCAAGAGTTTTCAAGTTTGCAAGACGGTAATGAATCCCTTCTAAAAGCCCTTTTTTATGTACGTATTTTTGCTGTCGATTGTAACATCAGTGTTAAAGCTGTTACAGTTCCAGAAAAAAGTGCATTTACAGAAAAGTTTCCTTATCCTCACCTTCAGAATGACTCTGACACGTGTGGCCCAAAGGGATACAAGACATCCTTTCTCTATCGACTTCCAAACATCCACTTTAACCCCCTGATACACCTTTAAAGTTTTTGTTGTTGAACTACATTGTATTAATGGCTCTGTCTTTAGGCCTGACGCTGGCACTGGAGGGACTGAGCGTCGGACAGTATCCTCCATCTCTCACTGTCAGGCAGGGCGAGACRGCAACCCTGTGCTGTCATTTTAGAGTCAACTCTCTGAAGTACGGGGTTCAGTGGTTCAAAACGAAGCCCGGGAATCGGCYCGTCCCAAAGTCATCGAGGTATATCTTTGTGGAAAAGAATCAAAGCTCCTCCCTGGTGATCTCACGGGTAACACCGGAGGATTCTGGATGGTATTACTGCGAGGTGAACGTCCTGCAGAAGGACCCAGAGAGAGGGAACGGCACCGAGATCTTCGTCCTGGGTGAGAAACAAATAGGCGGTTTCAGAAACGAACAAGCCCGCAATTTATTAGGCATCTCTGGGTTTTGGGGCTGTTGCCATGCTGGTAATTATGTCTCATTTGTATCGTCTGTGTACCTGAGCCACAGTGTGTAAGTGTGGTCCATGCATCACCGTGAAACGAATAGCCAGGCTCAATCTATAAAAATTCAAGTCGTGAAATTCCCTTTGAGTTCATCTTTTTGCCTGAGCAGTTTCATGACAGATCTAGAAATAATCACCCCAGCACGATCCGCAGTGCCTTGTATTGATCTTGCCCAGGGAATTGAAACTCACCAGAAAACAAGGCAGGGAGGGATGGTCAAATTATTATGTGGAAATCCTTCATGCGGAAGAAAAGCTTTCTTTTGATTTCCCCTGAATGCAATGTTGCTTACACCAGACACTAATATTCTATAGCTTTGCACGTTTTTTATATTTTTAAACACGTTATTTAAAAGTATTCTTTTCTAGATTATTATTTTTCCRTTTATTCATGTGGGTGTAACCGAGGAGAGGTGGTTAGAGTTAGTCTCCTTTAAGAGAAAAGATTGCAGGTTTGCTTTCTAGGTGGAGTTTGTATGTTCTCGCCATGCATGTGTGTGTTTTCTCACACACCAAAAACATGCATGCTTCACACAGCAAGATAATTATGCCGATTTTACSCTGAAAATCTTAAGGRCACCCTGATTATCATGGTGGCTCTAAAGATAAACTTAGGAGATATTCCTGTCGTGAGTGGTGGGCTAAGAATTACATAGTTGGCTTGGAGGGACATTGGAACAATTCTGATCTAGACTCAGGGATAGTCAACATGTTGGATTGTTTTGGCCCGATATCCCAGGGTGTGTGGTGTTCTTTGAGGACAAACGAGCTCGCAGCCTGTTGAATATGACATGTAGCCAATCAGAAAGCGAGGGCACAGAAACACGGAGGGAAATCCAAAATGTAAAAGACAGAATAACTGCCGTGAAGCACCAGAAAGTCTGCTGGACTTCGGAAACGTCTTTATGTTTTGTTTTTACTCCTCGTCCGCCATGTTTATTTACTCTGAACTCATGTTTGACCTCTGGTGGTCTCGCATATTTTCCAATCTGACATCTGAATATCTGTGAGTTAAATCTGTGTCTTTGCTGTATGGCAGTACACTATACACTGTATGACCAAACCTGCTATAGCCATGTAAAGGCTGCACAGAAAATTCACAGTTCGGTTTGGTTTGATACTTTAGTCTCACAGTTCAATATTTTGACACAAAAAAAGAGAAATTTCCATGCCCCTTCTTAACTTGTAATTTATTTAAATTAATTATGAGCATTTGTTTAACCTCAAACGTACAGTTTTTAAATTAAATGTCGCTGAAACAGCAAGTTTCTCAGTGGATCTGCGCTCGACAATGCAGCCTAGGTGGAGTAGTCGAACACAGATCCACTGAGTCTTCAACACAGAGCGTCTTCAGAAAACAAGATGATAAAATAAATTTTAAAAATCTGTATTGTTCAATACATAGTGTGTAGTGAACCTAAAGCACTGTATTGAACGGTTTGATACAGATACATGTATTGATGCACCCATATCTTTTTTTATTGTCATGGGTGGGGTCTGTCAGTTTTTTTAAATCAACTGACAATTTATAAATGTTGCTGTGTGAAGCAAGCATAAACCTAAATTGCCCCTAAGTGTGGGTGTGAGGTGTTTGGTTAATGTTTACCACCTTTTTCTATTCATCTCAAATTGTTTCTTCATGGATTTTTATGTAGCAGAATGCAACAATAGCTGCGTTTCCATTGACCATGAAAATGTGCATATTAGAATTTCGAAAATAAATTTGCTCAATGGAAACAGGTCAATTTTGAAAAAACTTCATTTTTTTGACAAAAATGTTTTTGCGCTAGGATGAGGTGGTTTGTCGGCCATTTCAAAATTGGTGTGTTTCGCAAAACTGCAACGGAAACACTTTTTTCACATCACGAGAGTTACGGGATCAATAACCGGCTGTTTCTACTGGCGAAAAGGACGACGAAGAAGACAACAGGAAGCAGAAGTAGTAGTAAAATCACCGAAGTAGTAAAAGAAAGTAGTAAACTCATCAACTACAATTTCCTAAAAATGCAGCATATGTAGCCGCTCCCAAGTATAAGGGGCTTGTCGCTCGAAAGCCTCGATAAGACGCCGACCTCTCCTCTGATGATGAGCGCTAGTGCCACGGTAGCAAGCAATTATGCATGCGTTTACATCCATTGCCGCCATGTTTGTAATGACTTATCACGAGAACAAACGTATTCACGCACGACTTTAACAGCATTTCTTACTTGATGGAAACACTGCACTTGTGAAATTGAGTTTTTTCAACATTACAGTGAAAGAAAGTCGATATCAGTTCGTGTTCGTTAGCAGGATGTGTGCGAAATCATGAGAGAATGTGCAATTTAATGTGAGTGTGAGAGTAACCATACAGAAACCAGAGCGCTCTGCTGATAACCTGTTTAACGCCACCCAGGAATCAGACCGAACAAGGAAGTGACAAAGAATATTAACACCAGCTTCAGGGCATGACTCCGCCTCTAATTACATCATCTGTTAGGAGGGGATCCCTACTATTTTTGGTCAGAGAAATGCCCACAAACAATTAAAAAGCTATCCTAATGATTTTAAAAGTACCCATATGTGTTATATGGTGCCAGGCATGTAGCTATTAAAATAGAATCATCCAGTTAATTATAAATCACATTTATCAGTCATTACACTTCTATCATAAAACAAAATAGACTATGTGTGGTGTGATTATAATCAGTGCACTAAATAAACCCCATTAATTGCTACAACAGAATATCGACAATGTTTTGCGCACATTTTCAATGGAAACGCAGCTATTCACATCTGAATGAATTTTTGTTTAATCTTTAAGAAAAGCATTTGTCTCACCTTAAAACTGTCTTTGTACGTGTACGGTACAAAATTAAGAGCAGTGGTTTGATTAAGCAAACATAACAGATGAAGGTAAGTTTGTCATCTTAATGACCACACACTTGATGCGCTGCCATTATGTGCTTATTTTAATAAGCAAACACACCTGTGTTCTCTCCAAATTATGAAATAGATTATATTCCAGCACACATTTGTTTCTTSTTTTCTATATTAAAGTGATCAAATCTAACAAATTGTCTTTGTTCTGTATTCTTCTCTCAATCTTAGTCCCTCCCTCTGCTCCTAAATTATCCCTCCAGATTCCTTCAAACCCACAGACCGATCATTGGGCTCTCATTTGTCTCACTAGAGGATTCTATCCAAGTAGGGTCACCCTCACCTGGACCTACCACAGCGCTGAAGCTGATATCGATCACCTGTCAGATGCCAGTTGCACCCTCCCTGCCAACATCTCTCATGGCAGCCTGCCTGAGCCCCCAGCTGACGGAGCCCTGCTGTCTCCAGATCGGTTTGTGAGGTTTRCAGCTGCACACCAGTCACAGTGTCTCCTGATGACGGACTTCCACAGCCTGGATGTGTATCTGTTCAGCAGGATTATCCTGCCCAAAAAACAATCCATGGAAGCTGGGATAACGTTCACATGCTGGGTGAAAGACCACCCTGCTATGAACAATTCCCTGACTTCTTCTTTCACCTGGGGTAAATACTGAAAGGAAAAAAAATCTATTCATCTCTTTCACATAAACAGTGGATATTTGTATTCAGTTGTTGTTTTACATTATTTTTCATGTCAAGTTCACTTTTAGAAACTGACTTTTAGTCAGCATACTAGATTGTAAATTGCTACTCAGAGAAAATATGCTCATTATTTTACTTTAGTGTGACAGATTGTTTTAAATATTATGATAACTGCTGTATGATAGGAAGGCTGTCTGCTACAGTACATGAATCACTTCTGTAAACGGAGAGCACAAATCACTGCAGAACCACTTATTTTAATTGTGAGCCAGCGTGTAAAAAAGTCATAAAATGCTAAATTGATCTAAGTTTTAAAATCAACAAACAATGACAGCAAACCATTAATATGAGTTATTTTGTTGTTGTTGAGATTTACAGTTTACTTTGTTGAACAAACCTGAATTTTAATTAAACCAAAATCATACAAAGGTTGCATTTAGTTTTATTTGTTTTATTGTGGGAGTTGTCCTTGAACCCCTTACTCACTAGCATATTTACTCTTTGGTGTCTTTAAATGCACACTCTTTTGTGCTTTACTTGTTTTTGTCTTGAAATATCAGCTTTATGCAGTTTGGGAGAAACGAGATAAAGTGAATAAAAAAAGGCTATATAATTGAAAAAATAAAAAACTAAAGCAACTGGATCAGAGATACTAACATGCTACTACACAACACTTTTAAAGCGTACATAAAAAAATATGTGATTTTGAAACTGCAACAGATCAAATGCTCAGCCTTTCTCGAGTAGAAGTCTCTCAGTACATAGCTTCTTGTTCTGTGGGTGGAGTTTGTCTTAACCATGATTGGTGGAGTTTATTGGTGTGGGTGGAGTTTGTCCTTGCTGTGGTTGGTGGAGATCTTTAAAGTGGGTGGAGTTTGTCCTTGCTGTGATTGGTGGAGTTCTTTGGTGTGGGTGGAGTTTATTTTAATGTGATTGGTGGAGTTCTTTGGTGTGGGTGGAGTTTATTTTAATGTGATTGGTGGAGTTCTTTGGTGTGGGTGGAGTTTATTTTAATGTAATTGGTGGAGTTCTTTGGTGTGGGTGNTTTGGTGTGGGTGGAGTTTGTCTTTACCGTGATTGGTGGAGATCTTTAGAGTGGGTGGAGTTTGTCTTTAGATTGATTGGTGGAGTTCTTTGGTGTGGGTCGAGTTTATCTTAATGTGATTGGTGGAGTTCTGTGGTGCAGGTGGAGATTGTCTTGACCATGTTTGGCAGAGTTTGGGATATAGGAGGAGTCTCTTGAGTGAGTGGGGTTAGATAAAATCCTGATTGGTCAGCTTGACTTGTCGTGTGGGTCAAGCTAAAAGATTAAGTAATCTTAAAGGCACAGTGGGTAGGATTTTGTCATCTTTTAGCCGAAATTGAGATAATCACTAATGACAATAATAAAAAACATGTCTAATCATTGCAGACAAAGACCTTGTTTTATTAT